TGCAGTCAGCTGAAGTAGCCTGCAGTGCTGCATTTAACCACTGCACCACCTCGGCTCTATTAACCATGGAAGCCCCTGAGTTTCAGCTTGTTTGTTTGTTTGTTTATTAACTAATATGATAAACATGTTCATGGATCCCTTTTTCTGCAAATTTGTCATATTTATCAATTTTGAGTTGAGTTATTAAAGTATCCAGTGGCCAATGCCAGATTTATTAATAGAATGAATGCTTAATATCCACCTAAAATCAGTTCTAGTTGACCAGGGAGAAACACCAGGCCAACCTTACCCAATCTTGAAAATGTTAAACAAGGTCAAGTGGAAAAGAGAAAATACTAGCTCTAGAACCTGAACTGGGGAGTTGGGAAAACATCCTGAAAGCCATCATGGAGACTACCTTTTTACTGCTATGGAAAAAACAGCTTGGATGTGTCAACAGGAGTCAAACTTAGCTCAAAGATTTACCTATGAGATTACTATGATAGATTATGAAACCATTTTGTTTCTAGCCTTAATCTCTCATGGGAACATCTAATACACCTGACAATATGATGCCCCTCAGGTGTGTTTGTCAGAGTTGGACCTCTGTCTGAATGGTATTTGATAAGACAGTGTTTCTCAACCAGGACACCTTGAAGATGTATGGAACAACTCCAGCAAACACATGCTGGTTGGGGAATTCTGGGAGTTGAAATCCGCACATCTTCATGTTATCACCATTCAGAATCTACTGAGCTAAGGAATCCACTGTGGGATACCACATTGGGGAAGGCTGATTTAGCTGCATCTCTGAAATTTCAAAGATGTCTGAAAATGTTTAAGGATTGAAAGTAGCTCCTATAGATGGAAAACCTCATCCTGTTGCCGAGCCACAAGCTTCTCTTTTTTTCTCTCTGAAGAAAATAAAGTTACTGCTTTAATAAAAATCATTAATTTAATTTTTAATTTTAATTTTATTAATTATGATTACAATAATTAATTCACAAAAGAAGATAGGGAACACAAAGACATACACACTGTTACAAGCAGCAGAAAGAAAAAAGGAGACAAGAAATACATATAGGAAATCATTCAGCCTAATCCTTAAACACATCGCTGTTTATTGATTGTACATTGATTGATTCAGTTACATTGATCGTAAGGAAGTTGGTAAACTGAAAGCAAATGTATATTGGTGATTTAAAACAGTAAATTTGGAAATATATTGGCTTCCCAACACATAAAACTAGACTTCTTTGTCCCCTCATTCCTGTTTTGATAAATCCATAATTCTTCATACATTGATAATTTTTTTTAAAAGGTACACTTTCTTTTAAAAGTATTCTTTTAAACCAAAATGGGATCTATCATGAGACAAAACTCATCATATGAATAAGTGTATTGATGCTTAGTTTACACTTCCAATTAAATGAAATTGTTTGCAAACTTTCTTAAACATTTTCTGGAATGTCCAGTAAATTAGAAGAAAAATGATAAATGAGATTCATTAAATAATCTGTAAGACCATTATCAATGAATCAGTTTTTGTATTGCATTTGGATATTGCAATTGTTTATTTCAGATTTCTTGGAAATAACTAATACCCACATTTGCAATACTCTTTTGTGTATGAAAAATATAGATATGGCATCATCCAAACACAGAAAATATTGATCGTAATATGGAATTTTATCCAGTACATTTTGAAACAATTGTAAAAATAATTTCGTTTAACTGAAGATCAGAAGCCAATTCTAATTTTGGGCAATTCAAAAGCCACTATAATTCAGATATTGTCAAAAGCTGATCTGAAATATTAATACCTCAAGCTGACCATAATTTCCATAACTATAATTTTCCAACTGGGATCTTTCAGGAATACAAGTTAGTCTTGGGAATAAGGATCAAAAATACATTTCTGTCCCAAATTCATTTATTTATATTTGGGTGCTCCCCAATTTCAAATCAACTCTGGGCTGTTTATAATATATTCAATTGTAAATAGTTAAAAACACTGCACAAAGTAAGTACCATAAATAAGATGTGTTATAGCCCCTGAGCCCCGGGACACCCTGGCTCAGTGGTTAAGACGCTGAGCTTGTTGATCAGAAAGGTCGGCAGTACAAATCCCTAGCGCTGCATAATGGACTGAGCTCCCGTTACGTGTCCCAGCTTCTGCCAACTTAGCAGTTCGAAAGCATGTAAAAATGCAAGTAGAAAAATAGGGACCATCCTTGTTGGGAAGATAATAGCGTTCCATGCGCCTTCAGTGTTTACTCATGCTGGCCACATGACCATAGAGACATCTTTGGACAGCACTGGCTCTTCAGCTTTGTAACAGAGATGAGCACCGCCCCCTAGAGTCAGGAACGACTAGCACATATGTGTGAGGGGAAACTTTACCTTTACCTATATCCCCTCTATACCATGGGTGTCAAATATCTCATGATGTATCACAATGTTTTTCCCCTTCGCGGAGCTGGGGTGGGTGTGGCCAGTGTGTGATGCATCCGGCCCCCAAGCCGCCAGTTTGACACCCCTGTTCTGTATATAATCATAGAGAAAAACATGTTCAAGAAGGGATTCCATCCAACCTGGAAAACTGCCAGGTCTTTAAAGCTCTCTGGAAAATCATGAAAGTGAGAACACCAGTGTGCACCAAATGTACCTTCCAGCCTTTAATATAAGAATGATTGGTGAATAGAGAGGGTGAAGTAGAGATAAATTGTCCCATAATGTTGAACAAGTCACACAATAATTTCCTAATTATGACCAAAGTGTATGTTTCTTTTAATTTAATCATTGATATTTCATAGCAAAGTCAACATATTGTATATTCCCCTTGATAAGGAGAAATGAATCAGTTATTATATCATGGCTGTAGAGTAGGTTTTAAAAATCTAGAAGGTTGACCTTTTTGTAAAAAAAAATGCCAACTTTTAATATACTCTTAATCCATTTTAAAAAATTAGGAATGCTTTTACATAGAAGTAATATTCATTTTTGGATTATATTTCTCCATAGAATTTATAGCTATTTATATATGATCAAAAACATCTTTATATCTACTAATATTTACAGAATTCAAGTACTCATTGAAAGCCAATTATTACAAATTGTTATAGCAATTATTAGAGTCTGTAAGAAAGATATGGAACTTCAGTTAATTGTAATCCGACAAATTATCAAACTGTAAATTTTGGTGCAGAAAAGTAGGCAGTTGTAATAAGATGTAATAAGATATAATGCAGTACAAGATATATGAATTATATAGTAATCAATGCAAATACTGTTGTACTGAAAATTTCCTGTGTTTGAAAACAGGCCAGTGGTTTTAGCATTACAAATCAGAAGATAAAGCAGATATTTTACAAATTATGAAGTATCCTGCTAGATAAACAAATAATTTTTAATAACCCTAGCAAAGGAAATAGAATATAATGTAATAATTCAATTATAGTAAGAGGAGAATGCATACTTAGGCAAGATTTATTTCAAAACATGCCACTGCACCATATCAAAGGCCTTCTCTACATCCAATGATGAAGAACATTATCACTGGTTTCAATAGTTTTGAATGTGTTCTCAGAATGTAGTCTAAATATATTTATATGCATGCAAAAAGGCACTCATTGACCCCAATCCATATTGTTCACTGTTTTCAACAGGAGGGCTAATTGTACAAATTTTCATTGGATAAAATACGATGACAACGGCCATTCTGCTGATATCATATTATTTGTTAGGACATGGGTATAAGAGGGTCTGGGAAACAGTAGGGACTGATAGTCTGTAGAGATTCTCAGTCACCTGGTCATGGTTGTCACAAAGGTGATTTTTCAGGAGGCAACTGGACTTTCTTGTTTTTTCTTTTGAAGACTTTTCGCTTCTCATCCAAGAAGCTTCTTCAGCTCTGACAGGATAATGGGGAATGGAAGGATTTATACTCCTTGCAGACAGCTGGTCATTTGCATCCTTTTAGGGTCGTTGAAGCACTTGGAGTTTTATCTGTGTCCTCAGGGTCAGTTGAGTAGTGCTCCTGATTCCTGTAGTCTACATTTTTTTCCTCTGGAAATCCATTCCTATTGTCACACCATTCAAAGGGTGTTCATCCCAAACTGTATAGCTAAACATCTTTTAGATCCTTCCATTCCACACAATCCTGTCAGAGCTGAAGAAGCTTCTTGGATGAGAAGCAAAGTGTCTGCATAAGAAAAGAAAAAACAAGAAAGTCCAGTTGCCTCCTGAAAAAGCACCTTTGGGACAGTAGGGACTGATCCAACTTTCAATGGAAGAGAATATCTGTAGTTCTGATATCAACTATGGAATTCTCGGTGCTCCTTGAATGTGGTAGTTTGATTGCAGACCTTCCTAGCTAGGTAACATCATCTGTACGAGTGACACTACTTTCTTTTCCATTTAGAAGGATCACAAAATGCAGGACAAGGAGTTTTGCCGCAGCCGGATTCCTCGCCTGGTACTTCGGCCTCATCTCTCCCAGCAACATTTCCAATACCAGAAGGTGTCTCCAGCATCTGAATCCCCCTTTTCTGAAGAGGAAAGCAAAGAATTCAACCCTTTAAGCTCATCTGGAGGGTCTGCCAGGACAATCAGCAGCAACAGTTTTTGCTCAGGTATTAAAGAAAGAATGTACATCAGTTAGGATAAAATGGCTGTTTTTATAGTATCATTATTGAATGATGTGCATATGTAAAAAATAAGCTAGGGTGGGGATGGGGGTGATAAAGCTGTCCTACCTACCAGGCAGTGGTGGGTTCCAGATCCCATTGCAATTGGTAGGGTGCCACAGGACCCAACGGCCACCACATGAATGCACGCAGTGCGCGCGAACATGCACAGCACACACATGCATCCTTCCCTCCTGCAATGCTCCATGATGCCTTCACAATACTCCAGCTGCTCAGCGGAGCATCATGCAGGCCCTGTACGCTCCGTGTGGGTGCACGGAAGCACCGAAGAGCTCAAATACAGGTAAGGCTGGTGGGTGGGTGGTTGGGCCCTCCAGAGCACCGTACCAGAACAGTATCCAGTGCTCCTGGCAGGCACCGGTACTCTGGTACCGGGGCATACCGTCTGCAACCCACACTGCCCCAACACCTGCCTCGCCTTGCAGGCCCACTTCTTCTGTGGCTGCTTGCCTGCACGCATTGTCCTGGCTTCCAATCCAGAGCTCTGTTATTGGCTGCAGAGGGATTTCCAGAATCTGACAGCAAAACGGAGGCTGGAGGTTATACGTGTGAGCGGCAGAAAGTGGCCGAAGAAGTGTTCTAGCAGTGGGGCTGTTGGTACAGCCACCGTGAGGTGAGTTAGTAATTAAACATCCCCCCAAAACTCTGGCTTTTGGAAGTGTAAACAAGTGCTATCAATGTTGCTATGTTGAGATTGGCCTGCATAAAGCATCAATTTCATAGAAGGGAAAACTGGCCCAACTATTTATCATATCAAGTCATTTGTCTAGGAATCTGGATACATGCCACAAGTTAAGAGCAGAGCCTTGAGATGCAGGCCAACAACTTTGAATCCAGCCATTTGGCCACAAAAAATTCTTTCACAGAAAGACAGATTTGTAAAGAGGTTGCACAAAATCTTGATTCCACAATAGAAATGAGATTTGAGCCTAGAAATAGTAAACCATCTCTTTGAAAGCACAAGTCTTTCTCTCATTTCGTGTAACCTTCCCTAAACACATACTAGTGATGCCTCTCTGATAAGGTAAAGGTAAATGTTCCCCCACACATGTGTGCTAGTCAGTTCTGGCTCTAGGGGTAGTACTCATCTCCGTTTCTAAGCCGAAGAGCCAGCGCTGTCTGTGGTCATGTGGCCGGCATGACTAAACGCCAAAGGCGCATGTAGAGCTATAACTTTTCCACCAAAGTGGTCCCTATTTTTCTACTTGCATTTTTTACATGCTTCCAAACTGCTAGGTTGGCAGAAGCTTGGACAAATAACAGGAGCTCACCCGGTTACGCATTACGAGAGATTTGAACTGCTGAACTGCCGACCTTCTGATCAACAAGCTCAGCATCTTAGCCACTGAGCTACCACAGCCCCTTAGGCATCATCTCTCTGATACCCATACTCAAACATGCATACGTAGAACCTTTCACTTTTTCCTAACCCAACTCTCTCAGCTATTGGTTTTTAAGTCCCCACCATCCATAGACACCCCTGCCTATGGGCAAAACATTTGCTTGTCTATACTCATCCTTCTTTTTCATTGCATTTTTGCCATTCCGTATCTTTTTCTACATGGTTTTTCACCCATTGGTGCCAATGGCCTACTTAATGAAATTGTAAATACAAAAGACAGAAAATAATAATAACAATAAAAACAATAATAATAATACAGTGTTTCCCCAAAAATAAGACCTTTATTTTATTGTGTTTCTTTTGACCCCCGAAATAAGTGCTTGGCCTTATTTTCAGAGAGGTCTTATTAATTTTCTGTCTTTTGTATTT